TTTTTCCGGTCGAGCACCATGGCCTCGGATTTGGAGGGGCTGATTCTCATCCCAGCCGCTTCACACTCGGCTGCAAACTGCCCCAGTGCATGCTGCAGGTCCTGGTTCGTTGGAGCCTACAGGACAACATCGTTCGCAAACTGCAGAGATGAAATCCTGTGGTCTCCGAACCGGACCCCCTCCGACCCCTGGCTGCGCCTAGATATTCTGTCCATAAATACAGTGAACAGAAACGGTGACAAAGGGCAGCCCTGTCGGAGGCCAACATTCACCGGGAACAGGTCTGACTTACTGCCGGCAATGCGAACACAGCTCTGGCTCCGGTCATACAGGGATCGGATGGCCCTCAGCAGAGGACCTCCGATCCCGTACTCCCGGAGAACCCCCAAAGGACACCCCGGGGAACACAGTCGAATGCCTTCTCCAAATCCACAAAGCACATGTGGACAGGTTGGGCGAACTCGGGGGTTCGGGGGTTGCCGCCGGGACCAGCAGCAGAGACCTTGCGACCACAGCTACGAGCCGCCGCATCGGCGATTGAGGCAGAGAACATGGTCCACTCGGACTCCATGTCCCCCTCCTCCACCGGGACCTGGGAGAAGCTCACCCGGAGGTGTGAGTTGAAAGTCCGTCTGGCAGGGGGCTCAGCGAGACGTTCCCAGCAGACCCTCACTATACGCTTGGGACTGCCAGGTCTGACCGGCTTCTTCCCCTGCCAGCGGATCCAACTCACGACCAGGTGATGATCGGTTGACAGCTCTGCCCCTCTCTTTACCCGAGTGTCTGAGACACGCGGTCAAAGGTCAGATGATACGACAACAAAGTCGATCATCGACCTCCGGCCTAGGGTGTCCTGGTGCCACGTGCACTGGTGGACACCCTTGTGCTCAAACATGGTGTTCGTGATGGACAAACTGTGACTGGCACAGAAGTCCAACAACTGAACACCGCTCGGGTTCAGATCAGGGGGGCCGCTCTTCCCGATCACCCCTCTCCAAGTGTCACTGGCGTTTCCCACATGGGCGTTGAAGTCCCCCAGGAGAATAACGGAGTCCCCGGGCGGTGCACCGTCCAGTACCCCTCCCAAGGACTCCAAGAAGGCCGGGTACTCTGCACTGCTGTTAGGCCCGTAGGCCGTCACAACAATGAGAGACTTGTCCCCCACCCGGAGGCGGAGGGACGCGACCCTCTCATTCACCGGGGAGAACTCCAACACGTGGCGGCTGAGATGGGGGGCAATGAGTATGGCCACCCCAGCTCGCCGCCTCTCCCCGCGGGAAACTCCAGAAAAGTGGAGCGTCCAACCCCTCTCAAGGAGTTGGGTTCCAGAGCCCAAGCTGTGTGTGGAGGTGAGGCCGACTATCTCTAGTCGGTATCGCTCAACCTCCCCCACAAGCTCGGGCTCCTCCCCCCCAGTGAGGTGACGTTCCACGTCCCAAATCACAACAGTACTTATCTTGCACTTTTTTATATAGATGTTGGTTACTTGCACTTGAACTGTATTTCAATATGTATTTGAGAAACTTGCACTTTTATCGTGCTGTGTATTCTACATTATGTAAGATAGTCCTGCGCTTTTCATCTGAACTTATTGCCAAGGACATGGTGCTAAATATCAATCAATACACTTTTATTTGTATGGTGCCTTTCCAACTCAAGGCAACTCAAGGCAACTCAAAGCGCCTCACAACCCACATCATATCAAACAAATCAGAAACATTAAAATCTTCATATGCAAATACAAAAAATAAATACATTAAAAATAGAATAAAATCGCAAGTAATTAAAAACCTTAAAACATTAAAAACACACATTTAAAAAATTAAAAAATAAATAGTCACAATGCATAAAAAAAGAGTATCTATAATCTATAAAATCCTTCAGCTGTGCGCACAGCTAAACAGAACAGTTTTTAACCTTGATAAACTGCCAGAGCAGATGCTAGCCTCACATCTTCAGGAAGACTGTTCCAGATTTTAGCTGCATTTATCTGAAACGCTGCCTCCCCATGTTTAGTTCTGACTCTTGGAACCAGCAAGGGGCTACCTCCTGTGCACCTCAGAGTCCGGGCTGGTTCATATGGCACCAACATGTCGCTTAAGTACTTTGGAGCGAGGCCATGGAGAGACTTGTACACAAGCAGTGCTGTTTTAAAGTCTATTCTCTGAGCCACAGGAAGCCAGTGCAGAGACCTGAGAACTGGACTAATGTGGTCGTTCTTCCTGGTTCTAGTCAGAACTCGAGCTGCTGCATTTTGGAAATACTGCCACTGAAAATTGAAAACTTGGATGATTTTACAAAGTTGTGGATACACTAGCACAGATCAGAGAATCAAACAGTTCAAACACAAGAAATGCAACCATAAAAACAGAATAACACAGAGCTGTTGGTCCATAAGGAGCGAATGACCAATGTCCATAAATGTTATTAGCAGCAGATCAGTCTAAGAATAGATACATAAGTAAATGTTTAATAACAACAGTCACAAAATGGTTCCTGGTTTCCAAAGATGCCATGAATATATATAATATCACTTGCCCAAAATACAAGACCTAAAAAGGTAATGACAAAAGCGGGTTAACCATGTATTGTACTGCAAATATTTTGATAAAAGGTAATCCTGTTTAAATTGTGTGTGGCAAATGTATTATTAAAAAGAGATACATTTTACTAATACTAATGATTTTTCTCCTTGTTCAAATCAAACCAGAGCCTTGTCTGGTTGCGAGGTGCAAACCGACCTGCGTCCATGACCACGACTGTGAAGGAAGCTCCAAATGCTGCGCCTCATGTGGAGGAAGAAATGTGTGTCGAGAGCCAGGTCATCTATTTTTTTATTTCATTAGAATATTATCAAATACAGACATAACATCAAAATCAAATGCTATACTTTACTCATTTAAAACTTTATCTTCAATCAGAAAATTCGACCCACATTTACAGAACAGATCTAAGTGATCTGATGCTGTGGTCGCTGGACAATAGCTGGGAGTTTCAAAATTGTTTTCTGAATATTTTTTCATATATATTATTTACATATTACATATTCATCATATTAGTTTGAAGGACTGTGCTTTTTGGCAGAGATCTGCAGAGTGCTAAGTTTATAATTCAAGTATTTCTTCTATTCAGGTTTGACAGTTACCACATAATTATCTGCAATAATAGCTTTTCTCACTTAAAGGACACATTGTTCCCTCATCAAACACAGACCTGGATTTTTTAAGGAATATGCATCTGATAAATTTCAAATTGGGAAAAGAAAAATCAAATTCAACTTCTTTGTGTGATGTGGTAGCACAGGAAGATACAGGCAGACCCTGTCAAAACAGCAGATAGCCTTGCCTTGCTTAATAAATTATGTATTTCTAGTTGGAAAACTTGGATTTTGATTAAATCTGAGTCTTTCGGTGGCCATGCCCCTGGAAGTGCAGCTCGGACAGTGACTGTTTTGGGAAGATGTAGTGCTGTGACACGCATTTCAACTGCAGAACCTGTGTTCTCCCAAAAGGTCCTAATATTTTCCAAAGTGTGTTTGAAGTCCTAGTGGACAATACTAGTACTACTATGGCAAGTAGTTAAGTTACAATACAATAACCAATAACTCTTTATGTAAATGTATTTAAACTCTATTTTGGATGTATTTAACTTATTTGTTAATGAGGATTGGAAAACTTGAGTGCTCCTTATTTTACTGATCTGTGCACTGGAGAAATTAAACTGATCTTTTTCCATAGGTGTCCTCCACATGGATTTCCCCATTCATATTCCCAAACCCAAACCGGGATTGTGTCCAAATCCAGAGGAAAAATGTGGCAATTGTCACTGTGCTCGGGATGAGAGATGCTGCAGTGACGAATGTGGGAGGAGCACCTGTGTATTTTGGACAGGTAAGACACTCGTTAATATTGTACCTTACAAACATGTTATTGTTATTGTGGACTCGAGTCAGACTAGTCTATGTCATTGACTCAGACCTGACTTGGACTCAGAGCTTTGTGACTTGAGAAGACCTGAAACCTAAACGGCCACAAAGGCAAGGTAAGGCAAGGCAAGTTTATTTGTATAGCATGTTCATACACAAGGCAACTCAAAGTGCTGAATAAGATAGCATTAAAATCATAAATAATCACAGAACATTAAAAAGAAAGATAAAAATATAAAATCCCTCAGTTGTATGCACAGCTAAACAGAACTGTTTTAACCTGGTTTTAAACATAGTCAGAGAGGAGGCCTGTCTCACATCTTCAGGAAGATTGTTCCAGATTTTAGCAGCATGAATCTGAAAAGCAGCCTCCCCATGTTTAGTTCTGACTCTGGGCACTAACAGGAGTCTAGTCCCTGTGCTCCTCAGAGTCCGGGCTGGTTCATATGGGACTAACATGTCACTAATATATTTTGGTGCGAGGCCATGGAGAGACTTGTACACAAGCAGAGCTGTTTTAAAGTCTATTCTCTGAGCCACAGGAAGCCAGTGCAGAGACCTGAGAACTGGACTAATGTGGTCGTACTTCCTGGTTCTAGTCAGGACTCGAGCTGCTGCATTTTGAATGTACTACAGCTGTTTTACAGCCTGTTTGGAGAGACCTGTGAGCAGGCCATTGCAGTAGTCTAACCTACTGGAGACAAATGCATGGATAAGAATCTCCAAGTCTGCTTTAGACACTATGTTTTTGATCCTGGCAATGTTTTTTAGATGGTAAAAAGCTGCTGATGTTACTGATTTGATGTGGCTATTAAAATGTAAGTCTGAGTCCAGTATTACCCCTAGATCTCTGACCTGGTTTGAGATCTAGGGGTTTTAGGGAGAGAGACTGTAGATGACAGATGACGCTCTCTCTTTGTTTCTGGGGACCAAAAACAAAGGTCTCATGAAGGTGTGAAGAGGTCACCACCGCTTTACAGTATTAAAAATCATATGCAGGATGTTGGCCCATAGAAAGGACTGTCAGACGAGAATGATGACATGATCGAATAGTGAATCTAAAAAAAGATTATTGTCACTTCTTGTTTCTAAAACAACAAGCTAATGTTAATGAAAGCTAATTTAAAAAGCTAATTTAAAAAAGTGTGTCTTCAGCTTGAAAACATGAATGTTGTCTTTGGCCCTGAGAGTTAGGGTTAACCCTTCTGGCTGCTCTATAGTCTACTATGCACGTCAAATCAATTCAATTCAATTTATTTTTGTATAGTCCTAAATCACAACAGTACTTATCTTGCACTTTTTTATATAGATGTTGGTTACTTGCACTTGAACTGTATTTCAATATGTATTTGAGAAACTTGCACTTTTATCGTGCTGTGTATTCTACATTATGTAAGATAGTCCTGCGGCTTTCATCTGAACTTATTGCCAAGGACATGGTGCTAAATATCAATCAATCAACTTTTATTTGTATGGTGCCTTTCCAACTCAAGGCAACTCAAGGCAACTCAAAGCGCCTCACAACCCACATCATATCAAACAAATCAGAAACATTAAAATCTTCATATGCAAATACAAAAAATAAATACATTAAAAATAGAATAAAATCGCAAGTAATTAAAAGCCATAAAACATTAAAAACACACACAGGATTAAAAAATAAATAGCCACAATGCATAAAAAAAAGAGTATCTATAATCTATAAAATCCTTCAGCTGTGCGCACAGCTAAACAGAACAGTTTTTAACCTTGATAAACTGCCAGAGCAGATGCTAGCCTCACATCTTCAGGAAGACTGTTCCAGATTTTAGCTGCATTTATCTGAAACGCTGCCTCCCCATGTTTAGTTCTGACTCTTGGAACCAGCAAGAGGCTACCTCCTGTGCTCCTCAGAGTCCGGGCTGGTTCATATGGCACCAACATGTCGCTTAAGTACTTTGGAGCGAGGCCATGGAGAGACTTGTACACAAGCAGTGCTGTTTTAAAGTCTATTCTCTGAGCCACAGGAAGCCAGTGCAGAGACCTGAGAACTGGACTAATGTGGTCGTTCTTCCTGGTTCTAGTCAGAACTCGAGCTGCTGCATTTTGGACATACTAGCCACTAAAACTTGAAAACTTGGATGATTTTACAAAGTTGTGGATACACTAGCACATTCAAACTTGAATAAGTAAATGTAAATATATATAAATAGTGTACAATGAAAATATGTCATACAATCCATATGGCATGGGGGCTGATTCCAGCTGGGGGTGGTATGGCCTGAACCAAGGCAGGACCATGGGAATGTTGAAAATAATAAAGAAAATGTTTATTTTAGACCTAACTTAGACCTAAGTTGCCAATATTATTATGATTATCATTATTGCTTAGGTTATTGTTAGACACAGTCATGTATCCATCTACATTGTAATCAGTTTAAATGAACATAAAACCAGCCTGCCCAGGGACTACAGGTGGAAATTAGCATCTCTGCTATAACCTGGTACATGCATCTCTCCTTTTGTGTTAATGCTTAAGTGTACACTGTCCCTGTTCAAATAAAGTACATACAATACAATACAATACAATTTACTTTAATGATCTAAACAAATATTTGTTTGTTTTCTGTAGTAGTCTTTGATCACCCACCTTAAATATTGCCCTTGTGTGTCTCAGTTTTGTCATGTTCAGTTGTTCATTTGATTTTGGCCTCATTTATTTGTATTTTTGACATATTTTTGGCTGACAAAAACTGACTATTGTGCAAAGCTTTGTAGCATTTAGCTAAGCTTGCAAAACATTGGAGCAAACCAAAAAGCATGGATCTATAATGGTCCAGATGTTATGTTCAGTACAAAGGTCTAAAGAAAACCTGTTTAAACTGGACCAAATCTTGAGGCCATCCTCTTTGTAGTAGAACTTTGGAACATCATCCAGGCCTCGGGAGGTGATGTTATCCGGCAGACAGAGGTCAGTGTAAGTAATCTCCTGATGAAATCTTTTCATCAGCTCCAATGCTCCTTTTGTTCCTACAGCAGTCTGCACAACAATAGTAATTAGAACGGCATTTTCAAATCAATAAAAAACAAAAGAGGAATATTCATTATTCGATTTCTCACCAATTCAAACAATTTTACAATTAAATTGCATCGTGCTTTGGTGTTCACAGCAATAGTGCCTTGAAAGTGTGGAGTGAGGATCTGTAAATGCAGAGACACAATTTGTGTTTACTAAAAAGTTTTGGAAAAGTATTTTATCTGTTTGGGCTCTGATATAATACATGGCTCCTCAGGTGATGCTGATCAATACCACATTGTCCTTCCAGCTCAAGCAGACAACATAAAAAGTATTATACTGGTTTTGCGTAAAATAAATACTCAGGAGATATAGTCACACGTTAAATTAGTGGTTATTACTCATGAAAATTCTAAATTCATGTATATTTGACAAAGTAATTTAGATGGTGTCGGAATATTTTGGCCAAGTACTCGTTGACGCCGATATCTGAAAAAAGTGCAGTATCTTTTGCAGATACCAGTATCCAGTGTTGTGCGTGAACTAGTTCAAAAGAACGCGTTCATTGAACACGCTCATTTTTTCATGAACGGTGAACTGAATGCAACACATTTTTAAAAAAAGAACTTGAACGTGAATTAGTTCATTTTATGTGTCATGAACGGCAGACATCACTATGAACGTTGGAATCTGTTTTCTCTTTTGAAACGCAACAAGAGAAAGTTCCTCCCTCCTGTATTCTCGCACCTTTTCCGCCGAAATCTAAAAATTCCTACGGTTTCCACCGTCTGTGAACGCACCCCGACTCGTGTTGCGGTGCGGCGCTGTGAGCTGGTGCTTTTCACATGTGCCCGAGTCGTGATGAAAACACAGGGTGAGTTAGCGACAAAGTTTACACCGTTTACATTTGAGTTTTCAAAAAATATTATTCAATATTATTTTATTTTTTTTACAATTCCCTATTGTCTTACATGGTTCAACAGGCAGGAATAGTAGATGTACCTTATGGATTGGGTGCACTGTTGGAAGGTTGCGGAGCATTGATAGGGCATAGACCTCTGCCAGCAGGTGAGTTTTCAACAGGTGAACCACGAACTGGTGTTGCATAACAACAGTATTATTTATGAACATCTTGGCCAGCAGCCAGTCACTCTCCAAATCACTGGGTAGGAAGATTGGGTTGTCTTCTGCCGGCTGCTGATATAGCTGCAATCACCAGAAATAAAACAATTAGACTTTATTGCAGCAGCCTGACTGGGATGTCCACCTCAGCCTGCTCCCTTTGGTGTTGACGTGCAGCAAATCTCATGATCTTAGACGCTGAAATGATGAAGGTAGTGAACTGTAAAACCAGAGCATTGCACACATTGGGCCTCATTTATTGGCCAAATCAGGGTGTAAATGAGGCGTACGTAAAGAATTCACACTTCTCTGCATTTATCAATCTGGACGTGAGCGTACAATACACACAGAATATACACCAAGTCAGTAGGTGGTGTAAATGTGTACGCTCATTTCAACCTTCATTACAACACGCAAAAACACGCATGAAATGCAAGCTTTGGACAACTATAAACATATTCCCACTCTATAAACTGCGTTTTCATGGAGCATCACGTTTCGAAATTTAAATTTGTGCATCAGAAAAAAACTAACACTCCGGAAACACACAAACTTCGAATATATCACAGATCATGATGAGGACCCTCTTCTGTTTCTTCGTTTTTAAATCTGAGTTGTATGTGTATTAATTTTCATCTGTATGTTTTTTTTATAAATGTGACACGCTTTGTGATCCTGGTCTGTGAAAGGCGCTATACAAATACACTTGACTTACTTACTTACTTAATGCGTGACCCGCCCTGCAGTGCGTAAATACACATGGCTATTTGTTTAGCCTCATTCAAAGCAAAAAAATGTCCTTAGTTTTGTGCATAAAGCCCCATAAACGCACAGATGGTCTCACTCAAAACTGTCTCAGCCACTGCACTGTCCACATGTAGAAGATGGCAATGCTCTTATCTGCAGGGCAGGGCAGGGCAGGGCAGGGCAGGGCAGGGCTGGGCAGGGCAGGGCAGGGCAATTTATATAGCACAATTTCATACACAAGGCAACTCAAAGTGCTGAACAAAATAAAATAGCATTAAAATCATAAATAATCACAGTACATTAAAAAGAAAGATAAAAATATAAAATCCCTCAGTTGTTGATTTATTAATTCATTCACTTCTAAAATTCAAGAGAGATGAGTGCTGCAGTGGGTCACTATAAGGAAAAACGCGTATACATAAATTAGCGTATACCATGGTTACCATGACAACTCAAGTTATAACTGAGTGTAACTGACGATCATTTTTGCAGCCGTTTAAGTTTGCTTTTCAAAGAAGAACTGGAAGTATTTTAAAGTGTGCTGTTATAAAGAGATGTTTTTGCAGCTTGGACAACAAGCTCTCCTTTATCTTTGTAGTTTTCACGGTGTTCCAAATGTCTGTATGAAATTAACATTTCATACAGGGGGAGGAGGCCCCGGGGAAGACCCAGGACACGCTGGAGGGACTATGTCTCTCAGCTGGCCTGGGAACGCCTTGGGGTCCCCCCGGACGAGCTGGAGGAAGTGTGTGTGGATAGGGAAGTCTGGGCGTCTCTGCTTAGACTGCTGCCCACGCGACCCGGCAACGGATAAAGCAGAAGAAAATGGATGGATGGATGGATGGATGTATGAAATTAAATGCTGCTAGACATCAGTCGAGGCATTCAGTCCTTTTTTTTGGAGAACAACGTAGTTACATAATATAAAACTCAATATAAACTCAGTGCGTGTCCCTAACAGGCCTTTTGAGGCCTGAATCCAACTCCATAACTTGGAATTATTGGAATCAATGATACCACAAACAAATCCAGTTTACACTTCTATCGGACCTATCTGCATACAAGAGATGCAGTCGGACAAACATGCAACGGGATACGGCAAATTCCACATTTTACAAGGAGAAGACTGTACCTGAATGGCAATGGGCTTCATCTGCTGCTCTGAGTTCAGGTAGAACAGACAAAGACCAGGGGCAACATGCAGAATTCCCTCATCTGGTATCCTCTTGGGAATTCTTTCAAAGTGCTTTGCATCATACATGAAGATTTTTCCTGTCTGTGGATCATAGCAAACATCAAGAGTAGTCAGAAGTCATTTATTGAAGCAGATTTATTGCTGCTTCAATAAATCAATAAAGTAATCTAATAACTTTTTTACACCCGGCACATTAGATTTATATTTTAGGGGAAAAAAGTATGATTTATGAATAAACAAGTAAGTCTGCAATATTATTTCATGCAAAACCAGAGCAGTGGTGGCACCATATCTTTGTAAACAAGTCCTGGAGTTTCATGTGTGCATGATGTACAACAGTTTCATATCGCTTTAACAATTATCAGAAGATTGGAGGCAAGGAAAACTTTTGTAATAGAATAGAATATAATAGAATAACGGTCTCTGGACATCCTTTACCTGCAGGTTATGTTGAAGATATTGCCTACAGTGACCACTGCATCCATGAAGTAGCCAGCAATAATGTTGGGGCATTGATTCTGGTCGTAGGACGCAGTTGGGATCTGTCTTTTTATTCATTTATTTATTTTAAATTCAATTTTCATGTCTACAATATTTACATCCAACAACTTCTTATTTTGAGGTCACGTAACAGGGGCTCCTGAAGGAGGTCATGTGACAGGGGCTGAACAAGGAGGTCTGCGAGGGGGGGGGGAGTCTGCAGCCAGACTCTCTTGGTTTTGGTTGTTTTCGAGCGTGCGTGATCACTTTGCTGCTCTCTGATGTGGAGCGAGGATGTTGGCTGCTGTGAACCGCTGCAGCAGTGAACAGTTTGTAAGGCAGTACTATGACCCATGCTTCAGTGATCAGAGGTCGCACGTTTTGTTTGTTGTTTTGGGAGCATACTGTGGCGTGCAAAAACGCAAAACTCCGGTTATCTCTGTCTACACGCAAATGCGTTTTATGTAATGCGATCTTCTAATATTACCTTTGCGATCGACTTGTAGATCTCGATCGACGTATTGAGCACCCCTGACTTACACTGTATAGCTTGTATCTAAGGGTTAAAGTGATAGTCTGGAACTCTAAATTAATTAAAAAATTTAAGAATTGTATTAAATTGACCTCCTGGCCTTAAATATTTATATAAAATAAGTCATTTTATGAATTCCAATATTACGGGTATGTCCCGCCTTAACTTCTCTTGGCTCCAGCTCAAAATCCACAATGCAGTCCAATTTAACCAATCGAGTCATGCCAAGGGCTGTCAATCATCGGCGCTGATGCTCTTAGCTGCGTGCATTCTCAGTTGTTTGTTTTCTCGGAGCCTCCGAATCAAGCCTCTATTAGGCTCTGGAACTACATGAAAACTGAACAAAGAATTCTGCACATCCAAGTTACCCATTTATATACTGAACCTATATCCATAATCATTTATATACTGAACCTATATCCATAATCAGATCCTCTGCAGATTTGTTCTATAATGTTCAATTAATGATAATATCTATTTCCGGGGTCTTTTGTGCATTAAAACATTTTTTTAATTAAAACGTTAACAAATAATTCTGAAAACCTCAATGTATGTGTATTCATAATATATATGTATAATGTGTTCTCTGGTTAACATTTAAATGTGCTGATTGATTGTTACGGAAACTTAGGCGTAGACCAATCAGAAAGGAAGGGGGAGGGCGATTGGGTCGTTTTATACAAATCATGAACCTCTCTCTCTTTTTTCTCACAAACTCCAGACAATCACAGATTTGTGCTGGCGTATCATTTTAATTTAGATTGAGTTTTTGTGAAACATGGAAGAGAATGTGTTTCGGCGGACCACTGGCCCCCACTTTCTTTTCTCAAGACTTACTTAGACAAACTTAGATATATATCAGCCAACAGTAGAGATGAAAAAAAGTAGATTAAAACACTATCAGTCAACTAAACTAAAATAGTAGCTTGTGTACCTCTAGCGCACTCCTCAGGGAGTCACCGGCATCTAGAAAGGGCTGCACCATCTCATTGGTCACAGGAAAGTTTGATGGAAGCTGTTGACAGCGCCGGATTACTGTTGGGTTGAAGCCATTTAAAAACTGTGAGCCAAAGAACTTATCTTCTTTCCAATGATCTGCCACATATTCTGCAGGAAAAGGAGAGTAAGTGATATAACATTGCGACAAACACAACAGAGATTTAATAACAGTGTACCTGTTATGATGTTGCTCCTCCACCAGAACATGTTTCTCAAATCCTCCAAACTTTTCCATCACTTTTTAGAACCTAAATGTCCCTTGATCTTTAGTTCAATTGCCCTGCCATTTCAGAAAGATACATCATCTTGGTTGTCAGTGTATTCTAGTATTAGTAGAAGTATTTGCAATTATTTATTGTGCAATACAATAAAAAAGAAAAAACATATACACATTTTGAAAAGCAGTAGGAAGAAGTAAAACATACAATACAATAAAAAGTGCAAGGCCCAATATCAGAGCTACCCTTAGCCTGCTTCTGTAGCTCTTCCCCATTCATTTTGCATGTCCACGAGAGATAAAGAAGAAGAGGATTCAACTTTGCCCGGAAACATGTGTGGATTGGAGAAACGTACACAAAGATGGCTTGTTTTGTGCTGTTAGCATCCCGAATTTGCGTTCTCTTCAATTCCAATGGAAGTTCTTCTACACTCTCATAGGGGGCTCTTTGGGGAAGGCCCTCTTCATACTCCACAAACCTGTGGAAACAGAAGACCATTTCATGCCAGCAACAATGATTCTATTCTAGTCTGGATCTTGCTTTGGTTCCTAGCTTTGCTGGAGTCTGGTTTTAAAGTCCTCAAGTCCATGTAATCATGGTCTAATTTGGATCCTTGGTCGAGACTCGAGACTCACCGATAAAGCTCCTTTCTCTCTTTCATCTCAATTTGGCGATGCTCCTTCAGCAAAGGGTGGTTTTCTTCAAACACTTTTGTGGCTTTAACACAAAAGCACAATTGTATGCAATCATTCTAATGGCAAAAAAAATCATTATTTCATTTCTGTTATTATCATGTGTCACCATAGTGGGGCTTCCTCTTGGGGACAATATGGCAAAAAAATAACATCACTTACAGAGGGAAATATCATGATAATGTAAGCGTGTGCTGGAGTGCGCATGCGCAAAGAGCTGTGGAAAAACCTGAAATGTTTAAAACTGGCCGGGAGAGTAACGGTCGTGTTGGGCTGTTCATGAATAAACGGAGACTGGTTATTTTATTCTCCAAAGATACTTCTGCCTCTGCTTCCTACCTAGCTTGCCCGTTACATTGGTGGCAGCGGTGTTGGCTGGACGTTCCTTCGGAATACTCGGGAATTGCAGTTGGCGTTATTTGGTGAACTATGTTTGGAAATTTTCATGGATCTGACGCCGGTATGGCTGAGGATGAATGCAAGTACGTACCTCCGTGGACCCAGGGGGTGTGCAATATCAGAGTGGACCTGCCTGCAGCGTTTTGTGGAGAAGGACGTAAACTTTTCGCTACCTGGATAAAGCAGTTCGAAGCGGCGGTCCACGCTCAGACCCGGGGTGATGGGAGAAGCTATGCCGCGTCCTTAACCGCTCTGCTGCCCACCCGGCTGGATGGTGCGGCGTTTCTGTTTCGGGACAGCCTGCCCTCGTCTGTGCAGTGTGATTTTGAACGGGTGAAGGAAAAACTCAATGAGGCTTTTGGACAGAAACAGTTTTTGCTGTATTTTCAGACGTGCGTCTCGGCTCGTCCCCGTGTGGCGAGCGAGAGCCTGGAGCTGTACGCTGCGGACCTTTCCCGGAGTATGACAAAATGGCACAGAATGGTGAGAAGTTCCGTCGCTTTCTGGCTGGACTTGACCCTGGGCTGCGGGCCAAATGCCACGAACAGGGCGCAACTGACTGAGACGCGGTGTGAGATTTCTGTCACCCGCTCGGCGTTCACCTTCTCGGCGTTCCCCTCCTCCTTCTCCAATCAGACGGAACCAGGGAAACGACCAGTAACTGGAGGTGAGGCCCGACCGCCAGTTTCGCAATCTCAGGGTCGCGGTGGACCTTCCACGGCGGAGATTGAATCTTCCTCTATGGACTGCTGTGCTGTGGGTGAGTCCAAGTGTACATCATATATCAGGGGATCCATTGAGGGAGTGGATGTTCCTATACTCATTGACTCTGGTTCTAACGTGTCATTAATCACAGAAGAATTTAAAATGTCAGTCCCTGCTTTGCGTAAACGTGTATTGAGTAATGATTACATCTTTGCTCATGCTGTCAACGGACAATTATTGGACGCACTTGGCACGATGACTGTTTCCATGTATTTGGGTGGAATGTATGTGGAGCAGATGGTGCATGTTGTAAGAGGGGCGACACAACGAGTTTTGCTGGGTTTTGATTTTTTATCAGAGTTTCATGCTGTTCTTGACGTGGGACATAGTGTATTGCACCTGGGGGGGAGTGGTTATACCATTGTTACATGCTAATGACCTTATTCCAAGATGCTGTAATATCACTATGTCCACAGATGTCATCATTCCTCCTTTCTGTGAAATGGTTGTCCCTGTGCAGGTGGAGGCTCCGCGCTCCATGGAGCCGCACACTGATTTCTATATCGGGTATGTGAAACCTGAGACTCGGGATTCAATGGGGTTAGTGGTTGCACGTACAGTGGCTCCGGTTAAGGATGGACTCACTGTCGCGCGGTTACTTAACCCCACTGACCATGAGTTGAGGATGCATTCCGGTTCGCATTTGGGGGTCCTTCATCATGTCGATAACAGTGACGTTTTTGAGCCGACGGACAGAGTTGACCCTGACGCTAAGCCAGTGACTCTACCGGACTTAGGGGACTGTTACCTCACAGATGATCAAAGGCAGCAACTCAGTGAATTGTTAGAGAGACACTGTAATGTTTTCCGTACTGGGGGTGGATTCACTAAGGCTACTGGTGTGATAAAACACCACATTAACACAAATGGTAGCCTCCCCGTTCGTAAGAGGGCTTACAGGACGTCCCCTGACAAACGGAGGGAGATCGACAGGCAGGTGCAGCGACTCCTGGCAGATGGGGTCATTGAGGAAAGTTGTAGCCCGTGGTCCTCTCCTGTGGTGCTTGTGAGGAAGAAGGACAACACATGGAGGTTTTGTGTGGACTACAGGGGTCTGAATGCGGTCACGGTGAGAGATTCACACCCATTGCCTCGGGTAGATGACACATTAGATGCCTTGGCAGGGGCTACATGGTTCAGCACACTGGACTTTTCAGATGGATACTGGCAGGTGGAAGTAGCTGAGGAAGACCGTGAGAAAACAGCCTTTAACACCGGCCATGGTCTGTATCAGTTTCGGTCTATGCCCATGGGTCTCACTAATGCTCCGGCTACCTTCCAGAGATTCATGGTCTTGAAGGGGCTTCCCTGGCATATTTGTATGATTTATCTGGATGACATTCTGATTTTTAGCAGGTCGTTCAGTGAGCACGTTGCAGCCTTGGAGCAGATTCTTTCGAGGATTGGTGCGGCTGGCCTGCGGTTGAAGGCTAAGAAATGTCAAATAGCTCGTGACCATGTGGCGTTCCTGGGGCATGTTGGTTCGGCTGAGGGGCTGCGGCCCGACCCAAGGAACACATGTAAGGTGAGAGACTGGCCTATTCCTCGTTCTGCCACTGAAGTTCGTGCCTTCCTTGGTCTCTGCTCGTATTATAGGAGGTTTGTGAGAGGTTTTGCACAACATGCCTCCCCTCTCATCCATCTCACGGGAAAAAACGTACCATTTACCTGGTCAGAGGAATGCCAAGAGTCATTTGAGTTTCTGAGAGACGCTCTTTGTGCTGAACCGGTAATGTGCCATCCTGACTTTACACAACCTTTTGTGTTGTATACTGATGCGTCCCAAGTTGCTGTCGGATCGGTGCTTACGCAATCTGTTGAAGGACTGGAACGGGTTGTCGCTTATGCCAGTCATGCCCTTACGGTGGCAGAGCGGAAGTGGTCGACATATGATAGAGAGCTTTGGGCCATTGTGTGGTCCATCCGGAACTTTAGGCACTATTTAGGTCTTCGACATTTTACCATTGTGACTGATCACAAGCCACTGCTTGGTCTTAGGCAGCTTCCCGTTGACAATGATAGGACGGGTCGACGCTGTCGCTGGGCCCTGGAATTGGATCCGTATGACTGGATTATTGTCCATAAGAGTGGGGTCCAGCATACTAATGCCGACGCGTTGTCTCGCTGTCCTGTGTCCCAGATAATCATGGTGAGCTCTGAGACGCAGACTATGGATATGTCAACTTCGGTGGCTGTATGTGGGGTCGAAGCTTCTACGGAGGCTCCCCTAAGTGCTCAGGCATCGGATTCTTGTGAGCCCTCAGTACCCCCTGACGGGAGTGACCTACAAACCCTCTTTCAGGAAGGCTCCAACGTAAGGCGTCTGCAGCAAGAGGACCCAGATATTCGATCTCTGTTGAAGTGGCTTAGAGCGGGTGAGAGGCCGTCCTCAGTGAGGATTAAAGGGGCTGGAAAGGCTCTCCGTATTTTGTGGCACGAGTTTCCTCGGATGACCATGATTGACGGAATTGTGCACAGGGTTGTTGCCCTGTCTGATGTGGAACAAACATGGCAGGTTGTCGTACCATCGGTTCTGGTGCCGGAGGTCCTGCGTCTTCTTCATGGGGGGCCCTTGACTGGCCATTTGGCTGTGGAGCGGACCATGGCCCGTGCACGCGGGGTGTGCTTCTGGCCTTGTATGTATCTTGACATATGCACTTGGTGTGAGCAGTGTTATGCCTGTCAGAGGCGCAAGGCGCCTGTGCCTCACCATCGTGCTCCGATGCGGACGACGTTGGCACAGCGCCCGTTTCAGCGGGTTGCGGCAGACATATTGGAGTTACCGGTCACGTCGAGAGGAAACCGCTATGTTCTGGTGGTGGAAGACTATTTCACCAAGTTCGTTAACATGTATGCTATTGCGGACCAGAGGGCTACTACCGTGGCAGAGTGTCTCTTTAACAATTTCATCTTGGAGCATGGTGTTATGGAGACCCTTCATACTGACATGGGGCGACAGTTTGAGTCAGACGTGGTTAGGCAGTTGTGTACATTGTTGGGTGTTAAAAAGACACATACCACGCCTTATAATCCTAAATCTGATGGCATGGTAGAGAGACTAAACAGAACGCTCATTGATCAGCTGGCCAAAATTCTACTTGCTTGTGAGGGTGAATGGGACTCTTTCTTATCTCAGGTTGCGTTTGCATACAATACTAGCGTTCATTCCAGTACAGGATTTACGCCCTATTTTCTTACTCATGGTAGGGAGGCTCGTGTTCCTGTGGATGTGTTTTTGGTTCCTATTATGCAGACTGGTCAGAGATATGACTCTATTGATGATTTTGTTTTTTCCCTTCGTAGACGTTTGGATGCTGCTTTTCGCCAGAGTCGCGATAACAGTGTGACTGCGAGTGACAAACAGAGGACCTTTTATGACACCAGAGAGAGACACAGGCCTTACGAAATTGGGGACTTAGTGTGGCTTCATGACCCAACTGAGAGCCGCCGTAAATGGCCCCACACTGGAAGGGGCCTTACATTATTGAGCGGAGACAGGACCGTGACGACGTGGTTGGGGTTACATATGTGATTGGAAGTCCATTTGGGGAAGAAGCCCCCAAACAGACAATTCACTATGATCGACTACGTCCCTATTGTTTGCCGAGTCCTGTTCCTTTGGCTGGCCCACCGAGAAGTGCCGCTCTAAGTACACAGGGCCCTGTGACCTACGATGCACTCTCCTCACACGGTGAGCCTTCTGTGTCCACCCCTTCGCCAGTGAGGGAACAGGTGGACGGTGAATTTGTACCGGATGCGGCCCCTATTGGTCGTCAGGTGCAGGTGTCGCGTTCTGGACGACACAGTAAGGCGCCTGGACGTTATGCTGACTATGTTATGGGTTAAGGTTCTGATGTTGTGTAACAGGTTATGTATGTTATGCTTGTTATTGTTTTTTTGTTTTTTTTCCCCTCTTCTTATGTTATTGTATTGAAATGGGGACATTTCATGTGTAAGGGGGAGATATTGTAAGCGTGTGCTGGAGTGCGCATGCGCAAAGAGCTGTGGAAAAACCTGAAATGTTTAAAACTGGCCGGGAGAGTAACGGTCGTGTTGGGCTGTTCATGAATAAACGGAGTCTGGTTATTTTATTCTCCAAAAAAAGCTTTGGTGCAACCAATTACCTTCAGAAGTCACAACATAAATAGTGAAATGATGTTCACCTGTGTCCAATCTAAGTGTCACATGATCTGTCAGTACATACACACACCTTTTTTGAAAGGCCTCAGAGGCTGCAACACCTAAGCAAGAGGCACCACTAACCAAACACTGCCATGAAGACCAAGGAACTCTCCAAACAAGTACTGGAACAGTGTTGTTGAGAAGAACAAGTCAGGGTTAGGTTATAAAAAAATATCAAAATCTTTGATGATCCCCAGGAGCATCATCAAATCTATCATAACTAAATGGAAAGAACATGGCACAACAGCAAACCTGCCAAGAGACGGCCGCCCACCAAAACTCACGCACCGGGCAAGGAGGGCATTAATCAGAGAGGCAGCACACAGACCTAAGGTAACCCTGGAGGAGCTGCAGAGTCCCACAGCAGAGACTGGAGTTTCTGTACAAAGGACGACAATAAGCCGTACGCGGCCAGAAGAAAGCCATTACTTTCAGCAAAAAACAAAATGGCACGTTTTGAGTTTGCGAATAGGCACGTGGGAAACTCCCAAAATGTATGGAGGAAGGTGCTCTGGTCTGATGAGACTAAAATTGAACTTTTTGGCCATCAAGGAAAACGTTAGGTCTGGCGCAAACCCAACACATCACATCACCCAAAAAACACCATCCCCACAGTGAAACATGGTGGTGGCAGCATCATGCTGTGGGGATGTTTTTCAGCAGCCGGGACTGGGAAACTGGTCAGAGTTGAGGGAAAGATGGATGGTGCTAAATACAGGGATATTCTTGAGCAAAACCTGTACCACTCTGTGCGTGATTTGAGGCTAGGACGGAGGTTCACCTTCCAGCAGGACAATGACCCCAAACACACTGCTAAAGTAACACTTCAGTGGTTTAAGGGGAAACATGTAAATGTGTTGGAATGGCCTAGTCATAGCCCAGACCTCAATCCAATAGAAAATCTGTGGTCAGACAGATTGTTGTTCACAAGCACAAACCATCCAACTTGAAGGAGCTGGAGCAGTTTTGCAAGGAGGAATGGGCAAACATCCCAGTGGTAAGATGTGGCAAGCTCATAGTGACTTATCCAAAGCGACTTGGAGCTGTGATTGCCGCAAAAGATGGCTCTACAAAGTATTGACTTTAGGGGGGTGAATAGTTATGCACATTGACCTTTTCTGTTGTTTTGTCCTATTTGTTGTTTGCTTCACAATAAAAAAAAGTTGTGGACATGTTCTGTAAATTAACTGATGCAAATCCTCAAACAATCCATGTTAATTCCAGGTTATGAGGCAACAAAACACACAAAACACTCAAAATGCCAAAGAAATGTTGGTTGTGTGTTGTATATGGAAATTATCCTCTTCAGTGATTCTGCCCAAATGTCTTTTTACATTATCTATTTTCTGATCTTGACAGACCGCAGAAGCCAAGCCTATCAGGGCCTGGTTTGTACGGGGCTGCGAGACCTCTGGGAACGCAGCTGTACCAGGGAACTGTTGTTGTGTCCTTAGGCAAGACCCTTCAACCACATTACATATTAGTCTAGTGTGTGTTTGAGTGTGTGCAAATGGTGGCTTGTGGTCTGTAGGGCCGATTGCATATACTGGTAGCTTCTCTTCTGTCAGTCTGTCCCAGGGCAGATGTGGCTCCAGTATTAGCTTATCACCACAGTGTAAGGAGTGAATGAACAATGCCATGTGAAGTACCTTTGAGTATCAATAATAATACATTGGTTTTATATAGCGCTTTTTTGGACACTCAAAGACGCTTCACATGTCATTATTCATTCACTCCATACACGGTGGTGATAAACTACTCACGTAGCCACAGCTGCCCTAGGGCACACTGACAGAAGCGAGGCAACCAGTATGTGCCATCAGCCCCTCCGACCACCACCAACCATTCACACACACCAGACTCATTCTAGGCAATGGGGGTAAAGTGTCTTGCCTAAGGACACAACAGCAGTTTGGCACTTTACAGCCACAGCCGCCCCACTGTGGCTGGTGTTCCCAGAGGTTAAGTGTCTTGCCAAGGACACAACGACAGCAGACAGTGGGAGTCGATGGTGAACATCGGGCTCAAACCCACGACCCTCTGGCTCAAAGGCCAATGCTCTACCAACTGAGCTACTGTCGCTGTAACAAGTGCTCTATAATTACAGTGCATAATTATTATACTGTTTCATCTGGAATAACTACTTTCCTTTTGGAGCTTAATCACCTTAATTTGCTTCATTGTTCACATTCATAGAACATTTGTTCGGGGGTGTCCAAACTGAGCCAACTTGTCCTGGGAGAATGGTAATTTTGTCGTTTTGGGAATTCCCACATATCATCTCAAAAGAAAACAATGGGATCACTCTTATCTTACCAAAAACATCTTTGAAACCAGTGTTCTCTTCAGTAACACTCTGTAACTGTTCTGTTGGTCTGGATAAGATTCTGATTAAACACAAAAAACAACTACATAACAATGATTCATTCGTGCTCAATGTTAGCTAACACTAAAACAGCCCTCTTCAGTACAGTATAATGATCGGCACATTTGATTGAAGGTTTAAATCTGAAAGTGCATCTAAACAAACATTGTCAAGTTTTGAGGACATTTCTCATTGTGCGTATTGAACTAATCATTATAAAGGATGTTTTCATTTTCTCTTATTATTGCCATCTTAATAACCTCAACTATTCCAGCAACACAAAGGATTTGGGAGATACTGAACATTTTATATATTTACACTGGAACTCCCAGAGCAGTCGATTTGACAGATTTTCCTTTTTCTTTTGGTCTTCATACCTTTGTGGTATGTGGTGTTAATAAAGGTAACACACACACACACACACACACACACACACACACACACACACACACACACACACACACACACACACACACACACACAAGTAATAATGCTAATAATAAGGATTATCAATTACATAAATACAACATAAATACAAATTAATAAAATCAATTCAATTGATTTGTGTATTGGTCGTCTCAGAGGAGAATACACAGTTGTTGATTTGCCAGATCAGAGAATCCAACAATTTGGACTCAAGAAATGCAATAATAACAAATACATATGAGTCGTCTCTCCAAAGGGAGCAGGAAGACCAATGTCCATAAATGTTAACATTTATATTAGTGTTCATAAATGTCCCCAAAATTAAATGTAACATTCTTCATATATTATTTGTACATTTAAAAAAAACAACGCTGTTCAGTATCTTCCATATTGTTTGTGTTGTTGTAATAGTTGTGGTCCACATTATGTTCATGTTTAAATGAACATAATGTCAACTGTTTGTGGGCGGGCACTCGGAGCCTCTGACCCCGAGGCTCCTCTTCAGGTGAATAAATAGAGGCTGGACATGAGTGTGATATCTGTGACTGCAGCAGTGAGCAACATGGAGCTGTCTGTGCTCTGCCTCCTGACGCTGGCCCTCGCCTTTGTGCCTCAACTCTCAGCGACAGCAGGTAAGTGACTATAAGGAACAAAGAATTGCTCATGTGCCACATCTAAAAACCTAGCTATAGATTTGTTTTTTATATCGTTAAATTCTCAAAGTGTTTAATCCACCGTTTGTCAGCAATTCAGGGAATCATAGTTTTGAGTGTGCAAAATCTGCTTTACAAGTTGCATTATTATTATTATTATTATTATTATTATTATTATTGTTTTTTATATAACACAAGTTGACAGCCAAAAAATGGTCAGGGGTTTCTCAACTGATTTAGACTAATTTTGGTGTTCTGAGTCCGAATATCACATGCATTTTGCTCTATCAGGTCAACTTTTTGAGATACAGCCATAGTGTTACGGATTACGTACGTCTACGTTATTATGAATTCTGCTCAAATTTGATGGAGTAAATAGAAATTGAATGACTTTGGATACGTTGACTTTTATTTCTTGAGGAAAACGGAAACAACGTCAAGGGTTTCTCAGCTGATGATCCGCAGAAATTAGTTTTTTACGCAAAATTGATTTAAAAAAATATTTCTGTAGAAACAAATCCTGACCTGATTGAGCAAAACCAAGGTCATTTTCGGACCCAGAGCATCAAAATTAGTCTAATTCAGCTGGAAAATTCTGGACTATTTTCAAAAAATATTTTTTTGTTACCCAGTGTTATCATCATAAATATGGCTTCTAAAATGTAAAGGTCTTTACATCCATAGCAGACAAACTGTGAAGGAATTGCAACGTTTTCATGAATTACAAAACCGTGTTTCCCAATTCTGTAGGAATAAGAATATTGGGACAACGCTGCTCAGATCTTCCATGACCAGTGTCTTAGTGACTCACTTGTGTGTTATTTCAAGATCCTTCATTATCCCATACAGTGCCTTCAGAAAGTATTCATCCTTCATATCTTTTGTAAAAGACCAACACAAAGAGAATTCCGTGCACATCTCTCTATCTAGTGCACACAGTGGTACTTTGCACTGGTATTCCAATGTGGTTTGACTGCAAATGGCAAATAAACAGAATATGGAAGTTTGAATTAAAGTGAAAGACAATGTATGAACGTATATACACCATATGAATGACGCAGTATGTGCACAGTTTAATGTCTGTCTAATGTCTTTTTCTAGTGCCTATACCGCGACCTGGGTGTCCCCCGTATAAATATCTATCACCCCAAGAACTGAGTGTCAGGTTGTGCCTGAAGGAGTGTTCCACAGACCGTGACTGTAAGGACAACAAGATCTGCTGTTTCGACGGCTGTTCCAACGTCTGTGTGCCTAGAAGTACAGGTACGTGTTTAACAAATAATAGCGTCATTTATTTATGATGTGTGAGTAAAAATGTACTACAGTAAATCTAACCAGGAGTCAAAGGATATTTCTGAGTACTCATGAATTTCACAGATAAGTGGAATGTTTACAGTTTAGAAGATAAAACTAAGCAGTATTATTATGCGGCGACAGTGGTTCAGTTGGTGGAGCATCTCACAACAAGACCTTCTCCACCGACTCCCACTGATGTCTGCTGTCATTGCGTCCTTGGGCAAGGCACTTTACCCCACTTTACTTGAAGCCCCCACTGAAAGATGAAGGCTGTGTTGTCACCGGCAGAGAAGCCATCTGGTTCTGGTGCTCAGTGAATTGGGGTCAGCTCTGACTGCCCAGAAATGGACTAAGGGGAAGTAGATGAATGGATGGATGGAGTAAGAAGTATCCTGTAAACCTAAATAGTTCGAAATACAATCCAAACAACTTTTCATCACACACAATAATGGTCAGAATCAAAGATATAATGTCTAAACCATTTTTCTTTGATTTGAATTCAAGCACTTTGAATAAAACTGAATGCTTTGTAATCCACAAATGCAAGATGTTTTTTAGATTTGAAAGTTTATAGATAGAGGACAACTAAAATGAATGACAGAAATAAATAACATATTCACTTAATAAAATCCAATTCTTTGCAGCACCAAAACCAGGATCCTGTCCCGTTCCAGTGGCTCCTAAGAGCTGTACGATCCATCTCAACCTTTGTTACGCCGACCAACATTGTTTTGGAAACCGAAAGTGCTGCTCTAACGGTTGTGGAAAAACCTGCATGAATCCAGTCACGGCAGGTAGGTGATACTTTTTTTCTTAAATTGTTTATTATTTCTGAACAAACTCAATCAAACCCACTACAAAAGTAGAAAGTGTTTGCAACTGCAGAAACAACATTAGTATCAAAACCTGAGACCTAAAGGGAATTGATAGAGTCCATCTCTCCAGGTCACTTTTCATAATCCTCACAATTGGTTTTAGACTGAAGAACCAGGGAAATGTCTATTCATCTATTGGCGAGTTCCTCTTAGCCTCATTCAATGGTTAAAAAAATGTACCCCAATTGATGTTGCAACTGGAGAAGCCACTGAAGTCATGAAATGCTGAACATTTCCTACAGACAACAGATTATCTGCAAAAAAATTAAATGTTTCAATCTACTAGGATTTTGGGGAGACATTATCAGAGAATAACGTCTAATTCCATACTTCTGATGTTTTTGATTTTACTAAGTATAATTCATTATATGCAGGTCCTAAACCGGGATCCTGCCCTGTTCCTGGTTTTGGGATATGTGTTAACCATTGTTACAACGACCACCAATGTGCCGGAAACCTGAAGTGCTGCTCTAACGGCTGTGGGAAAACCTGTGTCGCGCCAGTCAAGGAGGGTAAGTTATATTTCATTGTTAGTTATATAATTATGGTTTTAAAATGAAACAAACATTCAATAACAACAAACAGTACTTGCTATGCCAGGATGCCTCAAAGCCTCACCGCTCAGAAAAAAAATATATAGGAAAGTGTGATCTCTCCCTGAACCCAACCAGAGCCACGAATAAAATACCTTTCAAACATGAAAAAACTAAAGCATGTGTGGAAGAACATACTCTGAATATTTTTTATTATTTTTGTCACATACACAAACAGGCAGTACAATTTGTACTTCCAGGGGGTGTATCATAACACACACAACATTCAATCAAAGTAGATACATAGTAAGCCGTGGTTTCATGGCTCTGTCTCACTCTCTGAGGATACTTTCTTTTAAGATGAAGTACAATCTAAATCTACAATCTGTCTGCTGTCATTGTGTCCTTGGGCAAGGCACTTAACCCCACTTTACTTGAAACCCCCACTGAAAGATGAAGGCTGTGTTGTCACCGGCACAGAAGCCATCTGGTTCTGGGGCTCGGTGAATTGGGGTCAGCTCTGACTGCCCAGAAATGGGTATGGTCATACAAAATAATGGTCAGAATCAAAGATATAATGTTTCAACCATTTTTCTTTGGTTTGAATTCAGGCATTTTGAATAAAACTGAATGCTTTGTAATCCACAAATGCAAGATTTTTTTTAGATTTGAAAGTTTATAGATAGAGGACAACTAAAATAAATGACAGAAATAAACAACATATTCACTTAATAAAATCCAATTCTTTGCAGCACCAAAACCAGGATCCTGTCCCGTTCCAGTGGCTCCTAAGAGCTGTACGATCCATCTCAACCTTTGTTACGCCGACCAACATTGTTCTGGAAACCGAAAGTGCTGCTCTAACGGTTGTGGAAAAACCTGCATGAATCCAGTCACGGCAGGTAGGTGATACTTTTTTTCTTAAATTGTTTATTATTTCTGAACAAACTCAATCCAACCCACTATTTCCGGGACAGTGAATATTAATTAATGTCATTTAGCCACAAATTTTCAAGAAGCTACGTTTAATTTGTTGTCCCAAGAGATTCTCCATTGCTTTATCTCTAGAATTCCAGGCCACATGAACCAAACGATGAAACTAAGCAAACAGAGGCTGCAGTATAAAAGCCCAGCGAGATCATTTAAAATTTTGGAAGTGACAGTCGGACTGGAGTTCTGTCATGTTGCAATGCGAATAATTTACTTACAGATATATGTAGTGAGCCTGTTCCAATTACATGGAGGAGGTGGGAGTGGGCTCAGTAAACACAAAAGTAGAAAGTGTTTGCAACTGCAGAAACAACATTAGTATCAAAACCTGAGACCTAAAGGGAATTGATAGAGTCCATCTCTCCAGCTCATCTATACTTTTCATAATCTTCACAATTGGTTTTAGACTGAAGAACCAGGGAAATGTCTCTTCATCTATTGGCGAGTTCCTCTTAGCCTCATTCAATGGTTAAAAAGATGTATCCCAATTGATGTTGCAACTGGAGAAGCCACTGAAGTCATGAAATGCTGAACATTTCCTACAGACAACAGATTATCTGCAAAAAAATGTAATGTTTCAATCTACTAGGATTTTGGGGAGACATTTTCAGAGAATATCGTCTAATTCCATACTTCTGATGTTTTTGATTTTACTAAGTATAATTCATTATATGCAGGTCCTAAACCGGGATCCTGCCCTGTTCCTGGTTTTGGGATATGTGTTAACCATTGTTACAACGACCACCAATGTGACAGAAACCTGAAGTGCTGCTCTAACGGCTGTGGGAAAACCTGTGTCGCGCCAGTCAAGGAGGGTAAGTTATATTTCCTTGTTAGTTATATAATTATGTTTTTAAAATGAAACAAACATTCAATAACAACAAACAGTACTTGCTATGCCAGGATGCCTCAAAGCCTCACCGCTCAGAAAAAAAATATATAGGAAAGTGTGATCTCTCCCTGAACCCAACCAGAGCCACGAATAAAATACTAAAAATGAAAACACTAAAGCATGTGTGGAAGAACGTACTCTGAAAAAATCTTTAAAAAGAGCTATGACCAACATAATGACCTCCGGTAATTTCTTTTTTGTCTTAGTTTCAATTGTATTATTTTTGTCACATATACATACAGGCAGAACAATTTGTATTTACCTTCCAGGGGGTGTATCATAACACACACAACATTCAATCAAAGTAGATACATAGTAAGCCGTGGTTTCATGGCTCTGTCTCACTCTCTGAGGATACTTTCTTTTAAGATGAAGTACAATCTAAATTGCTGACATAAGAGATAAAACTCTCAGTTGGATTGTACCAGTCATTGACACAGTAAAGTAATCACACGTTGTTCAGATTACACAATAATGGTGCACAGAGGAGCTCTGGACATGAGCACAAAACATGAATAAGAACAAAGAACTGTTAACAATACAACTCAAAGAGGATCAGGAGAAGACCTGAGAGAAGCAGGTCTAATACTGAAAAATGAAAAAGAACAACAAAAACACCACTTTCAATGTCAGGACGCCTCAAAGCGGAACCATAAAAATATAAACAGATGAAAGAAAAAATAAGTATTACCTCCTTGAACCCGACCAGAGCTACAAATAAAATACCTTCCAAATATAAAGCAGGTGTAGAATAATATCATCTCAAAAATGCTGAGGATGCATTTATGTTTGTGATGGAACTTTGATTTGTTTATAATGGAACTTAACATTTGTTTGTGACAAAACTTAGCTTCATGTTTTGTTGTTCAAAGGAAAACTAAATTGTATAGCTGAACATTGGCAGCTTTTTTGTTTTGTAAATGGATAGGTTCAATAATCTTTAGTTCTGCCAATTCCATTTCAGACATAATGTGTATACATTTTCTATTTTCATGTAATGAATGTTAAATATGCTCAGATCTTCCATGACCAGTGTCTTAGTGACTCACTTGTGTGGTATTTCAAGATCCTTCATTATCCCATACAGTGCCTTCAGAAAGTATTCATCCTCATTTTTTTGTAAAAGACCAACACAAAGAGAATTTCGTGCACATCTTCTCTATCTAGTGCACACAGTGGTACTTTGCACTGGTATTCCAATGTGGTTTTACTGCAAATGGCGTAACATGTACAGTATACACCATATACCTACTGTATCCCCCCCCTAACCCTAACCCCACACACATACACCAGTAAAGGAGACACCAGGTCCCACAGCCACAGCCGACCACTGCTCCCAGTGCAGAGGGGAGCAGTGGTTTTTCCCAGTGTTTCCTTAATACTAAAAACAACACACACAAAAGTAAGACATTAAAATGTGTGACTAAAAGGAAACTATCACAATACATAGTAAGAATAACACATAATGAAACAAAAACTAAAAAATTGTCAAAAAGATAAAGAGAACATGTAAAATGTTTTGATAAATGCTAATCAAAAGCTAATCTAAAAAGGTGTGTCTTGAGCCTGCTTTTAACAGTATGAATGACGCAGTATGTGCACAGTTTAATGTCTGTCTAATGTCTTTTTCTAGTGCCTATACCGCGACCTGGGTGTCCCCCGTATAAATATCTATCACCCCAAGAACTGAGTGTCAGGTTGTGCCTGAAGGAGTGTTCCACAGACCGTGACTGTAAGGACAACAAGATCTGCTGTTTCGACGGCTGTTCCAACGTCTGTGTGCCTAGAAGTACAGGTACGTGTTTAACAAATAATAGCGTCATTTATTTATGATGTGTGAGTAAAAATGTACTACAGTAAATCTAACCAGGAGTCAAAGGATATTTCTGAGTACTCATGAATTTTACAGATAAGTGGAATGTTTACAGTTTAGAAGATAAAACTAAGCAGTATTATTATGCGGCGACAGTGGTTCAGTTGGTGGAGCATCTCACAACGAGACCTTCTCCACCAACTCCCACTGATGTCTGCTGTCATTGCGTCCTTGGGCAAGGCACTTTACCCCACTTTACTTGAAGCCCCCACTGAAAGATGAAGGCTGTGTTGTCACCGGCAGAGAAGCCATCTGGTTCTGGGGCTCAGTGAATTGGGGTCAGCTCTGACTGCCCAGACATGGGTATGGGTCATACAAAATAATGGTCAGAATCAAAGATATAATGTCTAAACCATTTTTCTTTGGTTTAAATTCAAGCACTTTGAATAAAACTGAATGCTTTGTAATCCACAAATACAAGATTTGTGATGTTTCAATCCGCTAGGATTTTTGGGGAGACATTATCAGAGAATAACCTCTGTCTCAGTATACATACAGACCTGGCTCAGAATACATACAGACCTGTCTCAGTATACAGACCTCTGTTTCAGTATACATACAGACTCTGTCTCAGTATACATACAGACCTCTGTCTCAGTATACAGACCTCTGTCTCAGTATACAGACCTCTGTTTCAGTATACAGACAGACCTCTGTCTCAGTATACAGACAGACCTCTGTTTCAGTATACAGACCTCTGTCTCAGTATACATACCTCTGTCTCAGTATACATACAGACCTCTGTCTCAGTATACATACAGACCTCTGTCTCAGTATACAGACAGACCTCTGTCTCAGTATACATACAGACCTCTGTCTCAGTATACATACAGACCTCTGTCTCAGTATACATACAGACCTCTGTCTCAGTATACATACAGACCTCTGTCTCAGTATACATACAGACCTCTGTCTCAGTATACATACAGACCTCTGTCTCAGTATACATACAGACCTCTGTCTCAGTATACATACAGACCTCTGTCTCAGTATACATACAGACCTCTGTCTCAGTATACATACAGACCTCTGTCTCAGTATACATACCTCTGTCTCAGTATACATTCAGACCTCTGTCTCAGTATACATACAGACCTCTGTCTCAGTATACATACAGACCTCTGTCTCAGTATACATACAGACCTCTGTCTCAGTATACATACAGACCTCTGTCTCAGTATACATACCTCTGTCTCAGTATACATACAGACCTCTGTCTCAGTATACATACAGACCTCTGTCTCAGTATACATACAGACCTCTGTCTCAGTATACATACAGACCTCTGTCTCAGTATACATACAGACCTCTGTCTCAGTATACATACAACCTCTGTCTCAGTACATACAGACCTCTGTCTCAGTATACATTCAGACCTCTGTCTCAGTATACATACAGACCTCTGTCTCAGTATACAGACCTCTGTCTCAGTATACATACAGACCTCTGTCTCAGTATACATACAGACCTCTGTCTCAGTATACATACAGACCTCTGTCTCAGTATACATACAGACCTCTGTCTCAGTATACATACAGACCTCTGTCTCAGTATACATACAGACCTCTGTCTCAGTATACATACAGACCTCTGTCTCAGTATACATACAACCTCTGTCTCAGTATACAGACCTCTGTCTCAGTATACATACAGACCTCTGTCTCAGTATACATACAGACCTCTGTCTCAGTATACATACAGACCTCTGTCTCAGTATACATACAGACCTCTGTCTCAGTATACATACAGACCTCTGTCTCAGTATACATACAGACCTCTGTTTCAGTATACATACAGACCTCTGTCTCAGTATACATACAGACCTCTGTCTCAGTATACAGACAGACCTCTGTCTCAGTATACATACAGACCTCTGTCTCAGTATACATACAGACCTCTGTCTCAGTATACAGACAGACCTCTGTCTCAGTATACATACAGACCTCTGTCTCAGTATACAGACCTCTGTCTCAGTATACATACAGACCTCTGTCTCAGTATACAGACAGACCTCTGTCTCAGTATACATACAGACCTCTGTCTCAGTATACATACAGACCTCTGTCTCAGTATACATACAGACCTCTGTCTCAGTATACATACAGACCTCTGTCTCAGTATACATACAGACCTCTGTCTCAGTATACATACAGACCTCTGTCTCAGTATACATACAGACCTCTGTCTCAGTATACATACAGACCTCTGTCTCAGTATACATACAGACCTCTGTCTCAGTATACATACAGACCTCTGTCTCAGTATACATACAGACCTCTGTCTCAGTATACATACAGACCTCTGTCTCAGTATACATACAGACCTCTGTCTCAGTATACATACAGACCTCTGTCTCAGTATACATACAGACCTCTGTCTCAGTATACATACAGACCTCTGTCTCAGTATACATACAGACCTCTGTCTCAGTATACATACAGACCTCTGTCTCAGTATACATACAGACCTCTGTCTCAGTATACATACAGACCTCTGTCTCAGTATACATACAGACCTCTGTCTCAGTATACATACAGACCTCTGTCTCAGTATACATACAGACCTCTGTCTCAGTATACATACAGACCTCTGTCTCAGTAACTACAGACCTGTCCAGTACAGACCTCTGTCTCAGTATACATACAGACCTCTGTCTCAGTATACATACAGACCTCTGTCTCAGTATACATACAGACCTCTGTCTCAGTATACATACAGACCTCTGTCTCAGTATACATACAGACCTCTGTCTCAGTATACATACAGACCTCTGTCTCAGTATATACAGTACAGACCTCTGTCTCAGTATACATACAGACCTCTGTCTCAGTATACATACAGACCTCTGTCTCAGTATACATACAGACTTCTGTCTCAGTATACATACAGACCTCTGTCTCAGTATACATACAGACCTCTGTCTCAGTATACATACAGACCTCTGTCTCAGTATACATACAGACCTCTGTCTCAGTATACATACAGACCTCTGTCTCAGTATACATACAGACCTCTGTCTCAGTATACATACAGACCTCTGTCTCAGTATACATACAGATACCTCTGTCTCAGTATACATACAGACCTCTGTCTCAGTATACATACAGACCTCTGTCTCAGTATACATACAGACCTCTGTCTCAGTATACATACAGACCTCTGTCTCAGTATACATACAGACCTCTGTCTCAGTATACATACAGACCTCTGTCTCAGTATACATACAGACCTCTGTCTCAGTATACATACAGACCTCTGTCTCAGTATACATACAGACCTCTGTCTCAGTATACATACAGACCTCTGTCTCAGTATACATACAGACCTCTGTCTCAGTATACAGACCTCTGTCTCAGTATACATACAGACCTCTGTCTCAGTATACATACAGACCTCTGTCTCAGTATACATTCAGACCTCTGTCTCAGTATACATACCTCTGTCTCAGTATACATACAGACCTCTGTCTCAGTATACAGACAGACCCCTGTCTCAGTATACATACAGACCTCTGTCTCAGTATACATACAGACCTCTGTCTCAGTATACAGACCTCTGTCTCAGTATACAGACCTCTGTCTCAGTATACATACAGACCTCTGTCTCAGTATGCAGACCTCTGTCTTAGTATACATACATACCTCTGTCTCAGTATACATACCTCTGTCTCAGTATACAGACCCCTGTCTCAGTATACATACAGACCTCTGTCTCAGTATACAGACCTGTCTCAGTATACATACAGACCTCTGTCTCAGTATACATACAGACCTCTATCTCAGTATACATACAGACCTCTGTCTCAGTATACATACAGACCTCTATCTCAGTATACATACAGACCTCTGTCTCAGTACAGACCACTGTCTCAGTATACATACCTGTGTCTCAGTATACATACAGACCTCTGTCTCAGAATACATACAGACCTCTGGCTCAGTATACATACAGACCTGTCTCAGTATACATACAGACCTCTGTCTCAGTATACATACAGACCTCTGTCTCAGTGTACATACAGACCTCTGTCTCAGTATACATAGACCTGTCTATGTATACATAGACCTCTGTATGTAAAACTGTAAGTATGAATTAGTTCATAAAACAGACAGAGAGAGAGAGAGAGACAGAGAGAGAGAGAGAGAGAGAGAGAGAGAGAGAGAAAGATCATGATATTATACCTGTCACAAACAAACACACTCCCTCCCCCCACTCCTGATGCCCTCCCCCCTCCTGATGTTTTTGATTTTACTAAGTATAATTCATTATATGCAGGTCCTAAACCGGGATCCTGCCCTGTTCCTGGTTTTGGGATATGTGTTAACCATTGTTACAACGACCACCAATGTGACGGAAACCTGAAGTGCTGCTCTAACGGCTGTGGGAAAACCTGTGTCGCGCCAGTCAAGGAGGGTAAGTTATATTTCCTTGTTAGTTATATAATTATGGTTTTAAAATGAAACAAACATTCAATAACAACAAACAGTACTTGCTATGCCAGGATGCCTCAAAGCCTCACCGCTCAGAAAAAAAATATATAGGAAAGTGTGATCTCTCCCTGAACCCAACCAGAGCCACGAATAAAATACTAAAAATGAAAAAACTAAAGCATGTGTGGAAGAACGTACTCTGAAAAAATCTTTAAAAAGAGCTATGACCAACATAATGACCTCCGGTAATTTCTTTTTTGTCTTAGTTTCAATTGTATTATTTGTGTCACATATACATACAGGCAGAACAATTTGTATTTACCTTCCAGGGGGTGTATCATAACACACACAACATTCAATCAAAGTAGATACATAGTAAGCCGTGGTTTCATGGCTCTGTCTCACTCTCTGAGGATACTTTCTTTTAAGATGAAGTACAATCTAAATTGCTGACATAAGAGATAAAACTCTCAGTTGGATTGTACCAGTCATTGACACAGTAAAGTAATCACACTTTGTTCAGATTACACAATAATGGTGCACAGAGGAGCTCTGGACATGAGCACAAAACATGAATAAGAACAAACAACTGTTAACAATACAACTCAAAGAGGATCAGGAGAAGACCTGAGAGAAGCAGGTCTAATACTGAAAAATGAAAAAGAACAACAAAAACACCACTTTCAATGTCAGGACGCCTCAAAGCGGAACCATAAAAATATAAACAGATGAAAGAAAAAATAAGTATTACCTCCTTGAACCCGACCAGAGCTACAAATAAAATACCTTCCAAATATAAAGCAGGTGTAGAATAATATCATCTCAAAAATGCTGAGGATGCATTTATGTTTGTGATGGAACTTTGATTTGTTTATAATGGAACTTAACATTTGTTTGTGACAAAACTTAGCTTCATGTTTTGTTGTTCAAAGGAAAACTAAATTGTATAGCTGAACATTGGCAGCTTTTTTGTTTTGTAAATGGATAGGTTCAACAATCTTTGGTTCTACCAATTCCATTTCAGACATAATGTGTATACATTTTCTATTTTCATTTAATGAATGTTAAATATGTCCGAATAAATTAATCTGAATCTGAATCTGAAAATAACAAGAGCTATGACATAGGTCAGGTAAATTGTTATCAAAATTTTTTTTTTTTTGTATTAGTTGTATAAGTATTTCTATTGTCACATAGACATAAAGGCAGAACAATTCTTATGTACCTTACAGTACACATATATCTAGCCTACATAGATACATAGTTAGCCGTGGTCTCACAGAGAGTCAGTGAAGAGAATGAAAGAAGGGGTCACAAAATGTGGTCAAATTTCCGTGAACCGGTTGAAAGTCTTGTAGCTGCATTCTTCAGAAAGTGCATGAGTCAAATCCAAAGAGAATTGGAGAAACCTAAAGAGTGGTAATAGAGAAGTGGTAATACATGTATACTATATGTAGGACTTAATTGTCATCATATTAAACTGACTCTTTCCCTGTTTTGTTCACAGTGAAAGTGGGATGCTGCCCGGCTCCGTTCCAGCCTCAGCATTGTCACCGTGACGATAAGTGCAAACAAGACAATGACTGTGATGATGGCGAGAAATGCTGCTTCGATGGCTGCGAGAACACCTGCAGGAAGCCACTGGGTAATACTAATGTCTTAATAAATGTTTTATTATATGACTCTCGTCTGTGTCTTTACCAATGCCTGTGAGATATTTGTGAAGTATGTTCATGTTCAACTTGGTTTTGTGTGATACGCGCTGCGGACAGATTGTCATGGTAACGGTCCGAGGAAAGATATCAAATGTGATACGCGCTGTTCGGACCAATTGTCATGGTAACGGTCCGAGATGGGAAAATATCAGACCGGTAATCAGCCAATCAGAGCGCGCGTACGGTCCAAGTCATATAATAAACATGCGTTATATACAATACCATTGGGTAACCCTAACTCAGTAACTCAATGAATAAATAGAAATAACTATTGTATGGCCATGTAAGTTTTGAGAATATCCACTTTGAAATTGGAATAGCTAAATTTACAATATAAACAATAATATAATAGTAAACCTGGACAAACTAGCTTTATAAATTTATGTTTTTTGTTTTTTTAACAGAAAAGAAAAAAGGAGTCTGCCCTGAGCCGATCCCTCATCTCACCACATCTCCTGATGAATGCTCTGCGGACAACCAATGTGAAGGCGGTCTGAAGTGCTGTTACAGCGGTGCTGCAATGCAGTGTACGTGCCCTAAAGGCGCAAAGTAAATATTAACTTCTAGGAATTGTCATAAAGTAGCAATGAACGCATGTGTTCAAAAGTACATCCAACAAGAACACGTGTCTGCACGTGCGTCTTTTGTTTCTCACTTATTTGTGTTCATCTCATGGTTGTATTATTTTGGTTCACCTTTCAACTTTCTCCAAAGTCTCCTCTACTTTATCTCCATGTAATAAAACATATGCTAAATTTTATCTAACAAACTGGCAACCCATTCATTCTGTTCTCTGATTGGCTGATCTGCATACAAATACTATGGGCATAACGTCCAATGGAATTTATAACAAGAATTGTATTAGATATTGTCAAATATGTACATTGACCCATTATCAGGGGACACGTACAAGGAGTAGACGTAGTTTGAAATGAAAATATTACATACTGTTCTTTACAATGAGACACTGACTTAGAGATGTCAAATTGATCATCTTACAACATTCTTCTGTTGTAAAAGCAGCTGGAATATTGTGCTTATCGTTAGATGAGTTAAGACTTGGCTTGTAGGACACAGTGACATTAGATTATCTCATTTATGTCAAAGATATTAATATCAGAAGATTTATTATCAGAAATCCACAATAAACACTTCATTAATTACTATACATTTTGTATAGAAACATCAAACTTCAAAGCATAAAAATGGGCTTTTTTCAAATAAAAATGTTTTCAATGTCTGTGGTGCCCTGAGATGGATGGGCCGCCCACTCCATAGATGTGATGCAGGTGATTAGAAACCCCCACTGAGTCAGGTGTAGAAACAGTCAAAATAAAATGTGTAAAACAGCACAACTCAAAATACAAAGAAATGTTGATTCAAGTTGGTCTCTAGTGCTGTTCACTGTCAAACAGCGAGCGAGGGGCTCCCAACTTTCCACCGCTATTTTATATAGATTAGTAGAAAATAATATTTTTAGCAACCTTAAACCCCACCATGAGAACCCTTTATTGCACCCAGTTCAGAAAAAGGACCAGGGAAGAAGAGGGCACTCTCAGACCGTGTGGAAGTAGATCCTAACAGAGCTGGTGCCAAGTAACTGTAAAAAGTAAAAAGTACTTATTTATTCAAGTAAATTGTTTAGTTATTTCTCACACAACAATAGTTTGATTTAAAAAAAAAAAAAATTTGAGTACTTAATTATACTAAGATTTTTGCATTCACTGACAATAAAATTGCAAGTTGGAACTTGAACTGTCTGTTGTGAGCCACTTGAACTCACCTTCAGAAGTTACTGATGAAAAGTTCACCTTATTTGATAAATTGAGTTAATTTTACATTGAAGTTGCAGTTAAAGTAAAATCAACTTAAAGGGGACATATCATGAAAAATCCACTTTTTGTGCCTTAAATGCCTTATGTGAAGTTGGAGCCTCTAGAAGTGCAAAAAAGTTGAAATCAGTCTCTTCATGGGTTGCAGAGAACACTTCATATTCTGTTTAGGTAAGATATTTCAACCCGCTCTCAGAAGCACCTCAGTACAGGTGTAGAAGAAAGGCCCGTGGAGCTACAAATAATGAGAGTCAGACCCAGGCATTGGAGTTACGCTTTATATAGGCCACAAATGAATGATTTAGATGTAAAAATCAATTATTTGAAAACACGATATGTCCACTTTAATCAACTTCTGAAAGTGAGTTCAAGTGGCTCACAACTCAAAAGTCGCGTGCAGCCAGTTACCTTGAAATTTTTAGTTGAACTAAAAATTTTTTTTGTTTTTACAGTGTATAACTTATATATAATTACACTGGGTAACGATCTCTCAGATCCTCTGAGTCTGAAAATGACCTTGGTTTTGCTCAATCAGGTCAGGATTTTTTGCTACAGAAATATTTTTTTAAATTGATTTTGTGTAAAAAACTAATTTCTGCGGATCATCAGCTGAGAAACCCTTGATATTTTTTCCGTTTTCCTCAAGAAATAAAAGTCAATGTATCCAAAGTCATTCAGTTTTTATTTACTCCATCAAATTTGATAAGCAGAATTCATAATAACGTAGATGTACATAATCCGTAACACTATGGCTGTATCTCAAAAAGTTGACCTGATGGAGCAAAATGCATGTGATATTCGGACTCAGAACACCAAAATTAGTCTAAATCAGTTGAGAAACCCCTGACCATTTTTTGGCTGTCAACTTGTGTTATATAACTTTATATTCTCCCATAAAAGGCCTTTAACTTCCTTTTTTCTTTGATGGGTATTTCTTTCCATCTAGTAATCACAGACACAAGGAAAATGAGCTTCAGAAGAGAAGCGCTGTCTCTTGTCTGAGAAGTTATTTTAAGTTAAGGGACTATGTTTTGCTTTTTAATCTGGTGTTGTGCAAGGCTCATTTGTAATTCTCTAACGCCATTTTAATCACATTAGATAAGGATGGACGTACAAGCAATCAGTGAAACAAACACACAGTCCAAATCATTGAGGTTAAATTTGATATAACATATATCTTGTTTTTCTGCACAAAGGACATGCTAATAAAGGCAACACAAATGTAGATAAAACATAATTGTTGAGACTTGTTGATGCCACTAAAACACTGTGTTGTTCCATATTAACATAATTTGTTAAGAAGTGTAAAACAAACCAGAAAAAACAGGTTGAGCATATTTTGGATGCCCTCAATAGCAGTCACAACATTATTGACGAGGTGTTTAATAACAGCTATGTTGTTGTTGTGTTTAATAACTATCAAACCTTGAAGGAGTCAAAATAATAAGTCCATAAACTCTGCTCTGACAACTTCACAATAATAACAATACACATATAAGCCGCACCGCATTATAAGCTGCAGGGTTAAAAGAAATAGAATAAACAAATATTCTATTTTGATAGTCCGGTAATTTCACAATATAGATTTTCCAATTGTTTTGTGTCTTCTGCTGTGATCCAGAGTCAGAGCAGCACTCAATTCACAGAGCACCAGCCTCTCACTGATCCTTCTGCAAGTGGTGAAGTAGTGGGGTGGCTTCAGGCAATGTGGGGTTAAGTGTCTTGCCCAAGGACACAACGGAAGAAGACATCAGTGGGAGTTGGTGGAAAGGTCTCGTGGTGGCATCAAACCCACAAACTTCAGGCTCAAAGGCCAATGCTCTACCAACTGGACCGTCGCCCCAACTGATAATCTTTTCTATTGGTTTGTATGTTCTGACTTTTGCTGCAAATTAATCTGCTCTCAGAACTCACAACATATTATGAATCTGAATATTTGTCTTAACCAGAATGAAAGTCAGATCAGACTCCGTTTATTTGCCATTTTCAAGCCACATGGGTGCCCCAGTGTGCATCAGACAAGTACATAAATAAGACAAGCTAAAAAGTACACTAAACAATTGTCACTGTGAAACCAATCATCAAAAAACAGTTTATATGATATGTTTCAAGATCTTTAAAGTGCTATGTTCAAACCGATTACAACTTGTGGAAAGAAGCTGTTGGCATATCAAGACGTCCTGCATCTCAGCAAATGATCATCTGCCAGAGGGAAGAAGCTGGAACATGGCTTTTCAGGGGCCAAAAGAGTCAGAGATCATTTAAAAAGCTAAAGGTCAGTATTTGTAAAGAACCACCAGAACAGGTAGCTCACAGTCCTCTTTACAGAGCGGAGAACCTTGTTTAGAGCTTCCCTTTATTTGGCTTCGATGTTGTCGAACCATACAGTCAGAGAACCAACAATAAAAACTTAAAATCATACAGCGATAAAAGTTAAGCAGAACATGATTGGACCAGCTTATCAGACCTCTCACATGTGAGCAGACACTTGGAGCCTCCCTCTGACCCCGAGGCTCCTCTTCAGGTGAATATAGAGGCTGGACATGAGTGTGACGCTGGCCCTCGCCTTTGTGCCTCAACACTCAGCCATATCATGTAAGTGACTATAAGAATAATTACTCATGAGAAATATTTATATTTCAAAACCACATCCAAACACCTGCATTTGTAAAGAACAACACCAGGGGCTGTATTCCTAAAGATTCTTACTGCTAAGAGTTGCTACTATTGGCCAAATTCTAAGAAAAATCTTAGAATCTCCCTTAAATGGATGATAGTGATAGTAGCTCAGTTGGTAGAGCACTGGCCTTCAGGCCTGAAGGTCGTGCGTTCAATTCCCACCTCCACACCTTCTCCACCGACTCCCACTGATGACTGCTGTCGTTGTGTCCTTGGGCAAGACACTTAACCTCACTTTGCCCAAATCCCCCACTGAAAGATCAAGGCTATGCTCACACTCAGAGAGCAGCCGTCCTCCTGTGGACTCACCACCTGCAGAGGGTCAGTGAGGGGCTGGTGCTATGAGACTTGGGTGGCATCTCTGACTGCCACCCCCCTGACCCAGAAATGGATTAAAGGGTAGAAAATGGATGGATGGATGGATGGATGGATGATAGTGAATCAGTGAAAATGTACAGATTGGATCTCGCAAGAATCATGTTTGTGGTATATTTGAAAGTCAACCATGTGACCAGCTTTTTATAGGCCATAGTCACAGCGGTGGCATTTTACCCTCATTACACGCTAAGTGAGTAGAAATGGTAGTTGAAAAATAAATAACTATCACTAACTGTGTTAATACTGTTTTTACACATTCTGTATGAATGAATGACAACAACAAACAAAATAACAACAGAACAGAAAAAGAAACAATACATGATAATTTAACATACAGTATGTTTTGTTGCATTGACAAAAATCCAGCTCGAAAAGGAGTGGGATGAAGACTTTTAAACTCCCACCCTCTATAAATAATTCTAAACTTTAATGATGTGGTTGCTACAGCTTACTTTAGTCAGTGGTATATTTACAGTTATGCAACAGTGACATCACAATAATATGCAATTGATTTGTACAGTGTATGTTTAATATGTTTATACAATTGTTTCTTTAATACCTTCTCCGTCTTTCAGTATCAACCTTGACTATTCATTATCAAAAATTATACATAATAATATATAGATATATGGATATTCATATATTATTCATATCTCTAATTGTC